GGGAGAAATCATGCAGTTTTCAGAAGTTAATGTACCTGCTCTTAATATTTTGAGTTGCACCCTTTCCTTTAATTTTTAAGCACTTTTATCAACTCACTCTGTTTTAATAGTTTGAAACATATTTATGAACACCTTATTCTAATCCATGCTTGTGGGAAGAAAATAAGTTGTGGTGACATCAGACAGTGAGCATGTATATGCACTGGATTCCAAGGGGCTGTTAGCACATTTTCAAACATCCTTAATTGGGCTGGAAGGTATTTGTCCCCCATGATCTAATCATCTCTACCCTTGGCACATTTTGTAGGTATAATTAATGATATACTGTCACATTGAGCTAACCATTCAATTCTGTGATTCAGAAATTATACAGGTATTCCTATTTATTAAAAGGCTTTTATCTTCCTCTTGGGTTTAATGTCAGTAAACACAATCTGTACTTCAACTAAGCCTCCCAAAAAAGCACAGAGAATTAGAATGAATAGCTGGGCTTTTGGTGACACTTTACATAACATTCATGCTGAATTCTGCTGCATTTAATCTCTCTCTCAACCGTGTTCCTCTGGCTTACCATAAAGACTTTTTTCCATTGCTGTCATTTCCATTTTCAGCCTTTAAGACAAAAATTCATTTTTCACATGGTTGGTGAGCTGAGCAATGTATCTTTAAATTACTTATATAAATTCCAACTACTCATTACTAATGAAACACATTCTTCTAATATGTTCAATATGACCTTCTGAGCCACTGCCGTGGAAATCCTTTCTCAGGTCCCCATTAACACAGCTAAATTTTCACCTTAAGTTATTGCTCTTTGGATCAGTCATCTGCTAGTGTGTAACAAATGACCCCAACACTTTGGCACTTAAAGCAGTGTGTATTTGTTCTCACACAGTAGGTGGGTCAGGAATCTGGCCACAGTGTAGCTAGTTCCACCACTGCAACCAAGGGGCCTGCCAGGACAGTGGTCTCATCGGAAGGTTCGACAGAGGCAGGGTCCATGTCTGAGTTCACTCGGATGATTGCGGGTAGGATCCAGTTTCTGAAAGGCCGTTGCCCTAAGGGCCTTCTGTCCATGCTGGCTGTTGGCTGGAGTTCCTCATCACAGGGGTCTGCCCAACATGATAACTTATTCATCAAAATCAAGCTGAAGGAGAGTCTTCCAGCAAGACAGAAGTCATCACCACCTCTGGGAAACCTAGTCAGCAAAGGGGTGTCTCATAGTCTATTCATTATAATGAAGTTATGAGGTCCAGCCACACTCCAGGGAAGGAAGCTATAGATATGTGGAAACCAAAGGTGACATTGGGGCCATCTTTTAGGTGGCCCTCTGTATCTCTGTTTGTAACTCTTATTACTGGATTATTATAGCCTACACAAGGTTATAATACTTGTACTGATAATAACAACTAACAACTACTGGCCCCTAACTAGGAGTCCCTTAGTGAATCAGAGCACTGTGTGTATAATTTTATCCTCACAACACATAAAAGGTATTATTATGTTTATATCCATTTTACAAAAGAAATTGCTGACAGACAATATATGGCCCTTGATTTTACCAAGCAGGGGGCCAGGATCGAAGCCTCACCTGCAGAAGCCACATTTCTCACTCTGTAGCTCATTTCAGTGGGATTCCCTTTTGGATTCCCTCCTGTGACAGGGTGATTCTCTGTCTCAGTCAACTACAGACGCATCACTAGCCTATCACAGAACCTGGTACCACTTTTTGGCCCAGAAACATTTGTTGAATTGACATGGATTTGGCTGAATTATCAGTGGATTCCTCTTAGCTGTAACAGTGGAGCTAAATTCAGGCACCCTTACAAGGTGTATTTGTCCTTTATCATTTTGAAAACCTTTTTATTTTTATTTTTCCTTTTTCTCAGGGGAGGCAGAGGAATGTTCTTCCCCCACCTCCTTTATGGAGGTCTAATGGACAAATAAAATGTGTATATTCAAAATGAAAACAAGATGATTGGACATATGTAGACATAGTGAAGCGATCGCCACACTTATGTCAATACATTCATCACTTCACATTTTTACCATGTGTGTGTGTGTGTGTGTGTGTGTGTAGTACAAATGCTTAAGAAGAATTGTTTAAGTGGCTTTCAAATATTTAATACTATATTATTAACTATAGTCACCATGCTGTATATTAGATCCCCAGAATGTATTCACCTAGAACTGAAAGTATGTGTGCCATTTGACCGACATTTCCCCAAGTCCACCCACTGTCCCTGGTCACCACTGTTCTCCGACTCGATGAACTCAACATTTTTATTCCCTCTTTCTGGTTCCACATATGAATGAGATCATACAGCGCTTATCTTTCTCTCTCTGACATACTTCCTTTAGCAAAATGTCCTTGTTCATTCATGTTGTTACCAGTGGCAGAATATCCTTTTTTATGGCTGTGTAATATTCCATTGTGGGTGTGTATATATGTATATATCTTTTCTTTCATACAAACACATATGTAAAATATCCCCACTATGTAAATATACCCATTAGATGTATATTATTTTTATATATTATTATATATCAGTATTTAATAATAGTATTAAATATTTAAATGTTGAGCATCCCCATGGCACAGAGCCACCCCCCAACAAGAACTCCCAAGGCTGAGAAGTTGTGTCAACTGTAAGAATGCCAGGTCAAATGCAGTGCAGAGTAAACACATTCCTATGATATTTCTGCATATAGCTGAGCTGATGAAGAAATGGGCAATACCCTTAAGGTGCCTGGAAGTGCTCGGGAAGTTGTAGTTTTACAACAAGACAGGTTATTTATTTATATTCTCTACTAAGTGAAACATGAAGATAGATAGCAGAAACACAAGCATTATTAAATATTAAATAGTTTGTATCACAGCTTCTTTCATATGTGATATGTTTTATATATATATCCCATCTTTATATATGTGATATATATGTAATATATGCGTTACCTATTATATATGTAGCCCATCTTCTTCATCCATTCAACTGTTTCCTTGTGTCGGATGTTGTGGATAATGCTGCAGCAAACATTAAAGTGCAGGGAACTCTCTGAGATCCTGATTTTATAGAAACCCTTTGTTTCCATCATCTCAGTTGGCCCCCCAAAGGCAGAGCCAGGATGTCAGGGAACATTGGGTGACGATAAGACACAGGGAGCTCATCTTTCATGCCCAAGACCTCACAGCTGGTGTCCTGAGCTGGGACAGCACTCCTGACTCAATTCTCCACTCATTCCTCTAGTGCCCAGTAAATAGAATAAAAGTCACCAAAGAGAGAATTAGGGACAGAGTTAGGGATGAGAGATTGGCTTCAGGAGGAGCCTGTGAGTAGTCACATCCACCTGCTTGCTTACCTTCAGAGGGAGGGCCCCTGCACAGCTGAGTTTACCTCTAAGAAAATGGATACCCCTCGAGAAGGAGACAAAAAGAGGGGATTTTGGAGCAGATAAAGCAGGGGAGAAAGGTATTGCTCCAGATTACCATGCATGGGGGTGAAGATCCTTTGATCTGGATTCCGAAAAGCAGGATGTCTGTTTGGAGAGGGGATGGGTTTTAATGCAGCGGTTCTCAATGGAGGGCAGTTTCGCACCCCCGGGGACACTTGGCAGTCTGGAGATATATTTGGTTCCAGAAGTCAGGGTGGGAGGGTGCCCTTGCATTTTGTGGGTGGAGGCCCTGGATGCTGCTGAGTATCCCCATGGCGCAGAGCCACCCCCCAACAAGAACTCCTGAGGCTGAGAAGTTGTGTCAACTCACTGTAAGAATGCCAGGTCAAATGTAGTGCAGAGTAAACACATTCCTATGATATTTCTGCGTATAGCTGAGCTGATGAAGAAGTGGGCAATACCCTTAAGGTGCCTGGAAGCGCTCGGGAAGTTGTAGTTTTACAACAAGACAGGTTATTTATTTATATTCTCTACTAAGTGAAACATGAAGATAGATAGCAGAAACACAAGCACGGCACGCTGGCTTGCTCCTCTGTGGTGCAAATGGTGTACGTTGCATCCTGATGGGAGCAGAGCATTATTATGTCTATTCCCTTAAAGTTACTGGTATTAGTTAAGGATTTTCAAGCCATTAAGTCCACTTGGGGGCCCCCTGATGTGCCAACCCGAAGCCCGAAGCCTCTCCTAGGCATTACCAATGGGTGTGTCTCTGGTGGTCTTCCAAAGCTCAGGATGTGTGGGAGAGCTCAGGTGGGTGCATCCTGCAGGCTGGCCCCATTGTGGGCATCCGACCCTGATTCTTGGCCAAGGTGACCGCATGAGGACTCTACTGCCCCACCGCTCACATGCCTGCAGGTTCTCTTTGGTGTGTAATATTCACCTGGCAACTCTGTGGGCATCAGAGAGCGGGTGTCGGCTGTGTGCGCTCAGGAGCCGTCCTCCCCCGACGTCTCCATCCGGTTGTTCTCAAAGTGTGTGTGTAGTGAAAGAGGAAGCGGCTCCTTCCACGGAGGGCCTTTGCTCTGACCTATGCACCGCGCACAGCCCCACCTGGGGAGCTCCTGCTCCTTGAGTTTTGAAAGATTTACCCATGTTTATCCATTTCCTTTCAAAGAGCTACTGCATGGACACTCCTAGCTCCTTTTAGAAAGGACAGGACATTGAAAAATGGGTCTTAGTGAAATATGTGTCTTTCCAGAGCTCAGAGAACCTCTTTAGCTAAGGACAAAGCCTAGCCACTAAAAGATGACAGGTAGTAACGGGTTTCGTTTGCCTGGACAGAGCCCACTCTGTGGTCTGGGGAGAAAGCAAGAGGTGTTTGTTCATTATAAAAACTGCAGAGAAAGAAGTGTTTGTTTTGGAAGCAAGCTCACGGGAAGACTGATAAGACGCTTGGCCCAGCGACGTCTTAGAGCATCTCTTTAGCACGTCTCATCTGGGGTGGGCCACCTGGGAGAACGCAATTTTCTTTGAGGAGGGAGGGGGGTCCCGGAGAAGGAGAAGGGTCCGCACGCGCCATGGCCCTCACCTCTGTGTCTCCTTTTCAGGGAGATGAGGATCCTTTGGTTTCTGCTGCTGTTCCTGTGTGAGGCCCAGAGCCAGACATTGTCGAGGCCCAACTTCGTCTTGCTGGTGGCTGATGACTTAGGCATCGGAGACCCCGGGTGCTATGGAAACAAGACCCTCAGGTTGGGTGACACGGTTGCCGTCTCTGTTGATGGGTCTTTGTCCCTAGACACTGAACACACACCACCAGAGCACAGACCACGCTGAAGTGCCCAAAACTCTTCAGACTGCACACACTCTTGGGTGCCTCTCTGTAGATACAGACAGATGTGGGCGTTAGGAAGGCAGGTGTGGCTTCACCTGTTCACATGAACACATGTAGGGAGCTGGGTAAACTCAGAGAACGCCGGACAGATGTCCCTGATCGTTCTGTGTGGCTCGCCGCTGTGCCCCGCCTGCACACACCCTCCATGTTGGTCTCCCTTTGGTCCACCTCTTCTACTCTGTCTGCTCTTCGGGCACCTGGCTTCATCCAGTGTGCAGCCCACCCTGTCCCTGCTTGCCAGCCACCCCCGCCTGCACGCCTGCCTTCCCCTTCTCACACCTGTTGTCCTCGGTTATCAGCCAGCCAGCCCGGCTGGGGACAGGTGGGCAGGGATGCGTACCATGTCGGATGATGGCAGAGGGCTGGGGGACCCACGGACAGAGGAAGAAGTTTTGTAGCTAAGCCTCCCGGGTACACCTGACTTCACGTAAGGGATGTCTTCAGGATTAAAACGGAGAGGCGGACCTTGTGTAGTACTGCATCGGCCGTAGGGCTGTCTTTTCTCTTTATAATCACAAGGAAACAAAGACCTGAAGATGGTTCTGTGAAAAGCATCATCTCACACACGATCAGTACAAACGGGTTTCAAGCAAAAGATGGAGAAAGATCATTAGCTTCTGTGAGAGTCCTCCTGAGATCTATGAATAGTACTTGGAGTTCAGGGTGGACCTGTTAATGCAAAGGGTCACGGGACTCTGATGTACCTACCTGGCAGCCCTCTGGCTTCGCATGTTTGCAACACAACAGTGCATCTTGGAAGGTGCTTCCCATCATATGTGTCTGATCAAAAATGAACTAAATTATTCCTTTGAGGAGACATTTGCCTACGAGATATAACAAGATCTCAGTTCCAACCTGAGGCTTTGCATCAAAAGTTGATTGTTATGTTTCGAATATACATGTAGCTCTGACATTTGTTAGATTTTTAAAAGCATAGACCGGGGTAAGATTTGATTTTGCCAATGTCTGTTTTCTGGCCCACCTTCTGTCTCCTTTTGAAACATGTTAGATCTCACTTTTTGACCTCTGTTGCCCTCTTCCTTGTTAGAAATGTAATGCTGTTTATCAGGGCCATAATTTCTATTCTCTTTTTTTCATTTTAGATAGTATTTTTAATACATGTATTTTTAAATTTTAGAAGGTTCAGTTTCTAGCCGTTATGAAAAGAAAAGGAAGCCTATTAAAATCCCAACGAAGAATTTGGGTCAAGTCGACCCTGCATGTGTCTTGCTCTCCATCATGCTTTCCAATTCTTTCTGAGAGACATTTTTCATTATAGGTGGGAGCCAGTTTGACATCACAAATATCGTGACATGATCTTCCCGTGCCGTGTGGTACGGTGCAGTGTGGTAGCTGGACTCTGGGTGGGCTGTGGCCCAGGGAGGCTGTGGGGCTGCCGTGGACGGGGTGCTCCCCGCCACGGCAGCCCCCCTGGAAGGGAACACAGTTAGCCACACCCTCCCTTCAGACGTCCTGCACAAGGAACAGGCCCCTCCTGTAGGACAGGAGGCCCGTGAGAATTCCCTCTGCCCAGACCTGAAGCGTGGACAAGGACCAGCCTAGCAGAGAGGTGGGGGCCAGGCTTCCCAGTGGAGCATATGGGATAAGAGCCCAGCACGGTCTAAGAACAGAAAGATGTTCATTTCTGAAGGCTGGGGAGGTATGGGACGCCTTCCTAAGATGAGGCCCAGACCCTTCCTGGAGAAAAGACACCAGGAAGGCCTGTCTTACACAACCAGCATCCCAGAAGTGAGCTCAGAGATGAATATTTCCTAAGCATAAAAAAGCTGTATGAGGATGTGAGTGACCCATAGCTTTGCCCGTCTCCCGGGAGTCCTGACCAGTGCCCGGTGTTCTTCGGGAAATGCCCACAGAATCCTGCTGTTCACCTCTGCCTGGGGGCACGTGAGCCTTCGGCAGAGACAGAGAGCAGGTTAGCAGCCTGCCCTTGGCTGTGGAAGAAAGGACTGAAGCTGCCCCAGACCTTCCTCCTTTGGGGGCACACAGGTGCCTGGGGGTTCCGTAGGTGGGGAGTTGCCAGGAGCCGACCCCCACCCATCTCTCAGCTGCCTGTTCTCAAAGCTTCGTTTCTCTCTTCTGCCCTAGGTCACAGGCAACGGGGGCTCAGAGCCCACCAAGGGCTTGGGTGACCCCCCAAAGAGCCAGACCTGGGTCGTCTAGAACTCCTCGTGGTTTTATTCCCTGTTTTAGTCTTTGTTCTGTATCATCTCTCCTTTCCCTCCCCTCTTCTGCCTCCCAAATCTCACACAATCCTCTGTTTCCCTGGATTCTTAGGAGGTGACGTCACTACGAGAGCCAGAGAGGAAGCTGTGTTTTCCCAGCCATCCCAAGTGACATGACTCTTGTTCTAGGACACCCGGTATGGACCGGCTGGCCCAGGAGGGCGTGAAGCTCACCCAGCACCTGGCGGCATCGCCCCTGTGCACGCCGAGCAGGGCCGCCTTCATGACGGGCCGCTACCCCGTCCGATCAGGTAGCCGCCTGACTCTGTCCCCGGGGCCCAGATCCTCCTTGGGCCACCCCCTCAGCTCCAGCTTTAATGGCTGATTTCTCCTGCTTCAGGAATGGCATCGGCGGCCCGCGTAGGAGTTTTCATCTTCTCAGCCTGTTCTGGAGGACTTCCCACCAGTGAGGTTACATTCGCCAAGCTTCTGAAGAATCAAGGGTACTCAACAGCTCTGATAGGTACGGACAGCTGAGGAGGGGGTGGCGAGTGCCTGTGTGGGGTGAAAGAGAGAGGGTCTCAGAGCAGCCTTCCTAGGGATGACATCGTGATAGGGTTTGTACAACTTTAGGAAAGAAATTGTTTTCAGTTCTCAATAAAACACAGTGCATTTATCTGGGCTATTTGAATGTGTAGGTATATGTCACTATATGTGTGTGCGGGGGGATGGATAGTAAATACAAAGACGAAGAGGGAGATAATACACGGATGGACAGGTGGATGTATATGGATATATGGCAAGATAGATGGTGTAGGTGATAGAGATGGGAGGGACAGAGCAGTAGAAGAGATGGATGATGGGTGGATAAATGGGTGTTGGATGGAGGGATGGTGGGTGGGTAGGTGGATGGATGGATGGGTGGAGGGTGGGTGGGTAGATGGATGGATGGTGGGTGGATGGATGGATGGATAGATGGTGAGTGGAAGGATGGATGGGTGGATGGGTGGGTGGGTGGATAGGTGCATGGATGGATGGATAGATAGATGGATGGGTGGGTGGGTGGATGGTGGGTGGGTGGGTGAATGGATGGATGGATGGTGGGTGTGGGTGGGTGGATGGATGGATGGTGGGTGGATGGATGGATAGATAATGGATAAAATAGATGAGACAGATGATAAATAAAAGATAAATAATATATATATATATGTACCATACTATTGATAAAGATTTTCCTTTTGCATTTGAATACTAAAATGGTATCACAAGTTGCCTGGGTTGATATTCCCATTCCTGTGTCCATCGGGAGGAATGGTGCCCTCTCCCTTTTGCCCCAGTTAGCTTGATCTGTGCAGGTCATCAGGTGACTCCTAGAATGTCTCCTGGGAGCATAATGACCATTCTCTTCCCTCCCACATCATTTTTTTGTGTTTTGTGAGGCACTCCCTAATTCAGTGATGTAATCCACATTGTATTAGAATGTGCGTAGGTGTTTGAAGTCCTTACTGAGCTGCGAGTATGATCTCTTCATGCCTCTAGGGTGGTCTTTTGAACAAGGATTCATTTCCATTCACAGTCAAGGAGCAAAACCGACTTTGTTCCAACACTTTAATTTTAAAGAAATGTCTTGGAAAGACATCTGTGTCAGAAAAAACCTTAAGTTTTTTCTGTGTACTTTTGTCTCCCACCTATTTGATAGATTAGGTGTTTGTCTTTTGTTTTATTTATTTATTTATTTTCATTCATTCATTCATTCATTCATTCATTCATGTATTTATTTACTCATTCATTCATTCATTCATTTGTTCATTTATATATTTATTTCAATTCTTGAATTAGTTCTTGTTTTCTGGTACATTGAGTCGTTTGTGCCCTGTTTCTGGAAAAGGGAGCAAAAAGCTGTGGCATCCCCCAGACTTGGCACCTGGCTCATCACTGTGCCCAGGGAGCCTCCTATTTTGCATGGGACTCAGACATGCCTGGGTGCTCTGGTCACTGAACCCGTTACCCATTCGTTTCCTCAGGAAAGTGGCACCTCGGTAACAACTGTCACAACAACGCAGACTTTTGTCACCATCCCCTGAGCCACGGCTTCGGTTATTTCTATGGGCTTCTCGGGACCAACATGAGAGACTGCAAGCCGGGGGATGGCACCGTCTTCATCGGGGGCATCAGGGTGCTGGCCTACACCCCGCTGAAGGTCATCACCATCACCCTGCTCACCCTGGTGGCCCTCAAGCACCTGGGCCTGCTCGACGTGCCCCCCGCTGTTTTCTTCTGCCTGCTTTTCCTGGCCGCCCTGATCCTCGGCCTCCTGCTGGCCTTCCTCCACTACTTCCGGCCCCTGAACTGCTTTCTGATAAGGGACCACGAGATCACCCAGCAGCCCATGTCCTATGACAACCTCACGCAGAGGCTGACGCGCGACGCAGCCAGCTTCATACGACGGTCAGTGCTGCCTGGGAAGCGTCACGCCTGGCTCTGTCCAGGGAGTGGGGAGAGCTGGGTGGTGGTCCTTCGGGCTGGAGTTGCCCCTTTATGCTTTGGAGATGCCCCCAGACACGCCGTCTGGAGGAGGGGAACATGGGTGGCGCACGTTGCATAACCTCCCGGAGGAGGTGGGGTGCGGGGGCTGTCCTCAGTGGCTTTGCCAGCGTCCCTCCTGTCACCTGCTTCTGAGGCCATGCTGGATGGCCAGAGGGGCTTCAGATTTAATCTTCAAGTGCACCGTCGAGGGTATAAAGGTCACTGGGTGTGGTGTTTGAGTGTAGATGTTGCCCTTGTGATAGAAGCAATGGGGGCAGACTTGAAATATTCCAGGCAGATCCCTGAGCAGAAGAACTCTGGAAGCTGGGAGAGAGCACGACTTCTCTGGGGCCTCTTAAGCTCCCTTCAGTCCAGCATTTGGGGGTTTGCAATGAGCAAAGGGATTAACTGTCCGCAGAGGGGTGCGTGACAATTCTGAGTAGATATACCTCCGTAACCCTTGCTGCTAAAAAGACACAAAACCGTTTTGCTGCATTTATTACGTGCAGGACAGTACTGTAGAGAAAAGCAGAAGTGCCATCCAGAAATCAGACATCTGGTCTTAGCAGTCAAGGCCATGCCCGGGCTGGGAAGACCTCTTCGTCAGGCAAGAAATACCAGATACGAATACCTAGGAGCCCCACAAAACGGCACAATGAAAGACAGCGTGATTCTTAGGAGAAAAAAAAGACAATTTTAAGCTGTTGATCGTGCTCCTGGGCATCTGTTTCCCGTATTGTTTGCACACGGAGATGCCCTTGAGTACCTACGGTAATTCCAGCTATTGGCGCACAGCCAGTGGGAGGCATTTCTGGGGCAGCTTCCCGCACTGTGGGTGTGATGCTGGCTCAGACCACATGATAGCAAACAAAGGGGGTCATTGGACCTTCTCACAAGTAGACCAAGAAAGGAAGAGGGGAGAAGGCTTGGCCATCACTATGGAACAGAGATTCCTCCGAGCTTGTGTAAGGATGACATGGGGTGCTTCTGAAAACAGCACAGCCCGTCTTTACCACTGAGGTGCCTGCCGAGTTCTGAGGTAAAGCTACACATCTCCATCTTAACAAGCTCCCTAAGGGTATATAAACCAGGTGTCCCAGCGGGCACTCTGAGAAATATTGGAGCAAATGTGGATTTTTGCTATTAGGAGCAAATGCCACAGTTGTTATTACACCTCTAGACTTTTCTTCAGAGTGTGAGATTGATGTAGAATCGAATGCATTTAGAATAATACAATGTAGATGTTTACATCTTCATGCAGTGACATGTACACAGATACCGAACCAAAAGCAGCTTCCTACAAAGACCTTTCCCTTGCCTGAACGATCCCTTCTGGTGCTTTGTGTTCTGTTTTATTTTCGAAAAATTACCTGGTTGTGACTACTGAACGCTGCCATGTCCTCTCCACCTACCAGCAATCTCTCAGAAACATGCAGAGAGAAGATAAATAAGCCCATGCCTGTTACAAAATGACAGGGTTCAGAAATGATTCTCAGTTTCCAGGGCGAATCACTTTTTTATAGTGTGCGTTGTGGTGTTTTGATGGAAATGATGGAATCGATAGTACTTATGAATATTCATGTGATTACAAGGCATTGTCATGAGGTCCTCTGCCAAGGAATTTGGGAGGGGACTGTAACAAATTTGATTATCATAGGGGTATCAAAAGCCCAACGGTTTAGCTTCATTATACTGGGGTTTCTACGTGTTCTGGTACATGTAGAGATTTATGTTGTTCTGGCAGCACCATAACTGGACGTCACGGTTATTGAGTGTTTGCAAAAGGATTTATTCTCCAAAGTAGATGAATCCAGTGTAAATGGCTGTCACCCACATTGGAGCAGTGCATGCATGCCCAATATTAGTGGAAATATGAACATGTCTACACTATGGTGCTGTTCCCCAAACGCCTCTTACATTCATTGTCTGGAGATACAAGATTTAAAGCGTCTAGGTAAAATCATCCTGGGATAAAATTGTCCTCCTGTGATATATTAGATGTTTGGTTCACTGACTAAGAGATCTGAGAATCTTGAGAGAATTGCCTCAGTATGTCACTGAAGAATAAATAAATGAAGGTGACACTGCCTTATTTATAAAAACTGTTTTCCAGGATCCAAAGACACATTTATATGTCTTATTTTATGGGCCAGAATATCCTGAATAATTTAGAATTCTCAGCTCTGTGAGATGGATTTTGAGTTTGTCAGAGCAACAGAGGAAAAGGGGTCAAAGCAGTGAGAACTGGGCACATGCCCCAGGATTACAGGCGTGCAGGTGGGGGACATGAAGGTTTGGCATCTCTGACCACACGCTCCAACCCTGATCCACTCTCCTCTGAATGGAATTTATCTTGGGAAGATGCTTCTATTAGAAAGCTAGGTAATCAGCTCACCATATGTTGCAAGTTGTGTAGTAATGTGCAAGTTAAGTAAGAGACAGGTCATTCTTGATACACTTTAATGGGAAAGAAATCCCTGTTGAGCTCACACAAAGAAATGAACTCTAGGTTTCTTAGAGATTTCTGACCCTCCCTGTGTGTCTCTCATGAGGGACCCCCCAAACCCCGTGCCGCCTAGCCCCCAAAGCCAGCTCAGCTTTCTCCCTCTGCCATTATGGTCCTCAGAGCTCTGCCATCTACTCTGCAGATGTACTGAGAAGGTCTGCATACAGATTCGTTGGAAGAAAGCTAAGGGATGAACTGGGGGTCTCAGATTGACCTTAGCAAGGGCGAGAGCCCGGGTCTGATGCTGCTAAAGGAGAATGCATCCTTCCGCGACCTTCCTGAGCTCCCGTGTCTGCAGCACCCATCAGCTCGGTGGTGGGGAAGTATAGCTGGGTACTCAGAAGGGGCTGCATGGTGACAGGTGCGCAAAGCACATTCGTGGTGTCCACAGAGTAGTTTTTCTTTTGCTCAAGTCAAGGCTGCCTTTAAAAAGCTGTAATGCCAGCGGGCAGGAGGAGACCCATATGTTGCAGGGTGTAGACTGGAGAGAGGGGCAGACCTGCGCCTTTCTGCGGCATGAGGAGTCAGCTGTGTTGGCCTGTTCCCTCTCGAAGTGCTTTGAGATCAGGGCTCCCTTGTTGGGAGAAACAATTCCATTGACAGGAACCTCTCTGCTCAGTATACACACTCTTGCTCTGAAGAGGTAGTTTCTAAGAATAAATGGTGTCTCTATACCCCCACGTAATTTTTAAGTTTGTGGTATCTAGTTATTGGATTCATAAATTCTGATGAAATTTAGCATGAGTATTCTGTTCTTAGTTTATGCAACATGTATCAAGATAGTCTGTGTGTGTGTGTGTGTGTGTTTAGGAGGCTATGATTGGAAGTGCAATAAATAATTTTCAGTTAGGCTTAATATGGGAACTCTCTTCTATCTTTAGCATGAGGTCTACTAGAAAACGAATCCAAACTTTGGGATGGCGTGGAGTTCTGTGTCTAATCTCTGACTGCCAGGAGTGGTATGAGCTCCTTTTTCTGACTCGAGCGAACCCTGAGGGCTGACGGCTCTGCGCATGGGAGCCAGCGTGACGCCAGAATTATGGAAAGTACGAGTAACGGGAGGGAACACCTCCGTGGAAGGATTATGCCCTGAGTGGAGGGAAAGTCATGGGCAAGAGTCCTGTCCCCCATTTCCTATGGTCTCTAGTTCTACAGGGAATACCGACTTCTTTCTGCACGCATGGCATATGTAGTCATAATGCCCTAAAACCCGTGACAGCTGGTGAATGAATTGGGGGATGATGTGATCTTTAATCCTGGGCCACTGCCATTTCCATTGGGCACTGTCAAAACCTGACACGCATTTACAGGGCATCTCCAACCTAACCACGCGCCATGGTTAAGTGGCCGTGATGCATGGCAAGGATCTGGCCTAGAGCATCTTTGGAATAAAGGGATCTTGGGATGATGTTATCAATTCCAGGAAGACTTTAAGCCAGAAAAGAATAGAGGCAATATCGATTTTAATTCGTGATAAGACCAGTAAATTAGATAGTAAGGGCCACACGGACAGACACTCTGACACATTCAAAAGTGCTGTCTTGCTAGTGGGTTTCAGACCCCGGGCACATTTGCTATGGATTCAATGTGACCAAAGAAATTGACAGCAAAACGTTCTTTGGGGTGAAGGGGTTTATTACCCGGCTTGTTCTCTGGCGGTAGGTCGAGCACTAGCGTCTCTGCCTCCGCCCAGAGCACTGGGCCGAGCTCTCTATATAGCGCAATAATGGCTTATTGCCTACAGGTGTGGAAGCAGTAGCCTAGCAACAGGCCAGTTACATCATCAGGTGGTTTAAGTTCAGGGAGGACCCCGGCCATAGGAACCCCAGCTTCCCCACAGTGGAAAGGTTAAATCATTAAAGATTTGTCTTGCTCTGTAAGGACAGAAACCACTTGATTGGTCTTTACCTTTCCTGGACCAATGGGCTAAGAATCTAGGAATGGGGCTGGGGTTCTTTGGAGGAACCCCGCATCAGAGACTGAGCAGGCCATGGAGGGAGGCTCGGGTTCCACCACGATGGGTCCAGGGCAAGTGTTCCTAACTGAGCAGGGTGTGGACCAAGGGTTCTGAGTCCTTCCTCTTTTCATGAAACCCACACACCTGTTTTATGCCCTGGGATCATGACCTAAACTGGAATCTGGAAGCGTGCCCTTCAGCGTATCGGGCACCGACGTGCACACCACAGGGGTCCAGGGTGGTGGGGGGAATCGTGATGGGCCCATGAGCCTAGGGACACAGCAGCTGGATTTGCTGCAACTCATTAAGGGGTGACGCCAGCCACCGGCCGCCCTTCAGGAGTGCAAGTGATGCTGTGGCTCCCCAGCCTTCCAGAGAAGTCAGAAACACCTTATTTTTTTTGGTGGGGTGGGACTATCTGGCAGGGATTCGTGGGAAACTTCCCAGCTGTTTGAGGAA